ACCCGCCCCTTATTGAAAAACTTTCCAAAAAAAAAAAAAAAAAAAGAAGCGGCGAGGAACAGTGATCTGGCTACCTTTCCCTGAACCTGGAATGAGGATTGCCCGAGGGCTGTGCCTCAGGACAGGAAGTGGCCAGGCAGTTACTAGCGAGGGGTGCTGGGCAGGCAGGTGCACCTCAAAGGGGCTGAGGCCTGTCCAGATAGCACGCTCTGCTGCCTCTGCCCTCGCAGAGAGAAACTTCTAGAAACCCGAGCGCTGCTGGTTCTGCAGGCCTGTGTTTTGGGTAGAATGAATAGTGTTTTCAATTTCTAGTGACAGTCTCTTAATCTCTAGGCTTAGTTGGCTGTGACAGGTTAATTTTTTTTCTAGTTGATCATTGTATGGGATCATAGAATTCTGGGCAAGAGGGAGATGTAGAGGTTGCCTTGCTTAATTTTGATGCTCAGAAGTGTTTCCTGTTTCCTGTCAAATCCCAGCGCTGCTTTGTCTGCCCCTTCCCCGCTGTCCCTCTCTTAGAGCTGAAGACCACAGAACACTTCTCTTCGGAGTCCGTCCGCCTCAGACTTTCTTCAGTGTTTCTGCTTTTCTCCTACTAACACTGAGTTATGTCTTCTAATTCTCTGATGCAGGTGGAAGATAGATTTAGGAAAACTAACCACAGCTCCCCCGAAGCCCAGTCTAAGCAGACAGGCAGAGTATTGGAGCCACCAGTGCCTTCCCGATCAGAGTCTTTTTCCAATGGCAACTCCGAGTCTGTGCATCCTGCCCTGCAGAGACCAGCGGAGCCACAGGTAGCAACAGCCACTTTGCTGGGGGCCGAGGAGGCTCGCGTGATGGCTCAGTGTCCACGGGCCTGCTCATGGCGGCCGCAGGAGAGCGGGGCCACTTGGAATGACACGAGACTGGCAGGAGTAACTTTAGACCAGGGAGGACGTACACTCGATTGATAGGGAACAGGATTCGGTTTATGTTGTACTCACTAAGAGTATCTACAGTCAACTATGTCTTCATCATCTAACTTTTTGCCTTCTCTAGCTCAGAGGTTAAGTGTCTCCTTCCACTTGAAAGGCTTGTTAGGTTTTGGAGAGTGTTATGAACACATAGAAGGAGAACCAAGACTGTTCTCCCAGTTTTTAAAAGTAAGTGCTTGAACCCGGCTTTCGACCAGTTCTACGGTTTGACCTCTGTGAGCCGATAATGCCCTGAAATTTCATACACAATTGTTGGATTTGTGCAAAGAGGCACATTCTTTCCAAGAAAAGGTCCTTTTAACAGATTCCCAAAGGTTTTATGATCCAAAAAGATTATGATCCAGTGAGGGAGCGGTGGCTTTCTGAGATTTAGGCAAGGGCAAAGGTCACGACCCCCCCTTGGGTCGCATTGGCCCCGTCCAGCTGGGGAGAGCTTTTAGGCTCAGTGCTGTGTGGCTAAGCGAAGCTGCAGTGCTGTCCACAGAGGAGAGGACACAGCAGAGACTACCCCCGGCAAGGACCACAGGAATTCCTACGCTCTCACTGAAAATCACTGGCTTATAGCTGTTTTCCTCCTTGTTGCTGTGTAGTCAGAATTTTGGTTACAAGCCGTCAGCCTGAGTTTTTCTCATCACTGACGTTTGCATGGGAGTGGGACAAAAGCTCACGTTCTTGCGACAGATTCTCTCGAGAATTTGTAGTCCCCTTGGATGATGGGGGACAGTAGCATGGGAGAGTTCAACAATAGAAGAAAAGCTGGGGCTGAAGCACGGGTGTGGGCAGGGCTGGGCGCACGTCTGTGAGGGGTCAGTAGATAGGCGACTCCAGAGAGTAGAGAGTGGAAGGGAAAGGAGAGCGGAGAAAGCAAACCACAAACAGGGACGAGGAGAGAGGCTGTCGGAACAGGCGTGATGACGCCTGTACCCCGAGACTCTGCACTTTTCCCGTGTAGGTATATTTCGAGTGTATAGGATAAAAGTTTTTGTTCAGAAATTTAAATTTGCTATAAATGAAAAGTCTTTATTTGGTCACTGACAGTTTAGAAAATAGGAGTTTCCTTTGAATTAATTGTACAGCAGAATTTTTATATTTGGGATTGACAAATGCAGTACTTGGAAATAGTTGCCTTTTTCCTTCTATTCTAAAGCTGCTTTAGGCTGAAGCATATATCCGTGTAACATTCTTTGGAGGAAACTTTTCTCTTGTTAGCACTATTTTGACTCTCATTTTTAATTACATACATTCATGTAATAGGTATGTAGCTAGAATGATATAATACTGAACAATTACTTTAAAATAATAAAATATCATTTAATGAAAATGTCTTATAGATTGTTCCAGAATTGTTCCCCCAACTAAACTCAGCCAAAGTAATTTTTTTGAGAGAGAGAGATTTTTTTGCTATAAGGCATGTGCACTCGCCCAAGAGAGAAGACAGACAGAAAGTGAGAAATCAACCCCCAGGAGGATGGTCACGCTGCAATACTTTCCCCTCCATTCTCCTCTCAGGATCTTGGGGATACACACACACACACACACACACACACACCTGGCCTGAGTTTCAAGTCACTGGGTCTGGGACTTGAACCGTGGTCGACTACATGGAAGTCCAACGACGTAATCATAATGCCATCTGCTGGTCCCCCGACAAGTAATTTTTATATTTATTTTTGTGAATTGTCCAGTAAAAGGAATACCCCAACAGCAGACTAAGGGAATCTATGATACTGAATTTAAAGAAATCACAATTTTTTTTCTAACTAGTATAAAGGTAAATGGAGAAATCGAGGTTATGAGTGTTTTAAATCTTGAGAAATGAGAAAACTTATTTGCATATTTGAAAACTTGGGTGTTTTTAAGTATGAACATGAGGGTGCGTTTTTGCCCGATCAGTGTGCTGTGTTCTTGGTACCTGGTCTGAAATCTTACCCTGCCAGGGAACATGAGGATGGCTAGGCAGGTTCGCGTGTCGGACAGTGTCCCTCACTTGCGATTTTCCACCTTCCTCTGCCTCTAACCTCTCTGCTTTGACAAGGATGTGCCTGCAGGGCACCTTCCCCCTTTGTAAGGAAACTTCATGCTTACTGCTATCTGTAATGTTTGTCTGGATATGAAAAGAGCTTTCCTTCTGAATGTACATGTGTTCTTTTCTACGACTGTGCTCCCCAGACCGCTTCCTCCCTGGAGTGTAATGTCACAGTCCTGGCTTTACCTGCTGCTGTGCCTCCTGTTTGCACCCCCTTTGCCAGTTCCTGCTTTGGATTTGGTATTGACCAGAAAAGCCCGTTTTATGCAGAACGCATTGAATGTTTTGTGTTTTGTTTTCTCGTAAGGTACAGTGGTCCCACCTGGCATCTCTCAAGAACAATGTTTCCCCTGTCTCGCGATCCCATTCCTTCAGTGACCCTTCTCCTCCCAAATTTGCACAGCACCATCTTCGTTCTCAGGACCCATGTCCACCTTCCCGCAGTGAGGGGCTCACTCAGAGCTCTGACTCTAAGTCGGAGCTGCCTGACCCCACCCAAAAGGCTTGGTCTAGATCAGACAGTGACGAGGTGCCTCCAAGGGTAAGGAGCAGAAAGACAGACGTGTGCTTCTTCTTCCTTTTTGTTGTTATTATTTTTAAAATATTTATTTTAATTAAGGGTACGGTGACTTCACCAGAATTAAAGGGGCAATGAAATTTCAAAGGAATTTTTTTATGGTGGAGAGAAATTTCCATAGTTGGCAGTTACATGTAGCCCGTGGCCAGTTAGCTTTTTATCGCTATTGCTAACTCTGTACTTCAACGTAAGAGCAAACTGATTCAAGAGTGAGTCCATGAGGAATATGTTTCTGGAATGAACAGAATCCTCACTTAGCAGTTTTCTTACAAACGTAGACAGAAGCTGTGTGGTGTTTTGCACCAGTAACTAATACCAAAATGTTTAGAAAAGGACCCATAAAGAAAAAAAATGAATAATTTCAAAGAATGATTTTTTTTTAAATATAGTTTTTTTATTTTAAATGATGAAATTAATCAAGAGAGCACATTTTAGGAATTTCTTTTTTTAACCTGCACTTGGAATTTGCTTCTCTGAGTATTTCCTTGCTTCCTTGCCAGTCCTTGCTTCTTGCTGATCCATTGTAGGCCATTGATTTCTTCAGCTGATTTTCCTAATTCCACGTGATCTCACCAAAATACTGTACATGTCCCTTGCAACCACGCCTTAGTGCTGGCATCACATAACTTACAGAAGTTAGAGAGGCTGTTCGTACCGGCTCCTTCGGTGCCGTGGCCTAAATTTTCTCTCCCCATTTTGTCAGTGGAGGACAGACAGGGTTGGGTTGGGGTGGGGGCGGGGTCAGTCGTAGGAAGGCAGTGTAATTAGGACTGTGTTCGAGTATGTTTTGGTTAGGAACGTCTCTTTTTTCTCCTGCTCATGTTTTCAGCCACGTAATTATTCTGTTTCCCACCTCAAGGTTCCTGTGAGAACAACGTCACGTTCCCCGGTTTTGTCCCGTCGGGATTCCCCACTGCAGGGCAGTGGTCAGCAAAACAGCCAAGCAGGACAGAGAAACTCCACCAGGTATTCGGAGAGGGGCGGGAAGACTGAAGACAGTTTTACCATGTGGTTTGCTACAGTCTCACTGTCTGCCTTTATAAAAATGCTCATGAGCAAAGATGATGGGAAGCAAAAACAGCCGTGACCTCTGTGAGCAGGAGCAGCAGCCAAGAGCTCCGGAGGACAGCCAGGGTTCGAACCCAGATGTGTGCGGTCGTATTTCGAGGGAAGACTCCCAGTCTCTGTGAGAGTGCCTGGAAGGAATGGCAGGGCAGAGGCTTATAGGAGAACTATCATCAGAGGAAGCTTTTTTTTTTAATCTCAAGGGCATGCGAAGGCCTTTGGAGTGGGGTAGAAATCCCAGAAGGGATTGGTGGTCGGTCTGCTGTGAATCAGTGAACAACCAAGCAGCGGCTTTTGTAGGTTCTAGAGCTGGTCTGCTCAGGACAGTCCCATGAGCCACACAGACTTCTTAAATTTAGATTTAACTTAAAAATGAAATACATTTAGGACCTTACTCCTTAGTTGTACCAGTCATATTTCAAGGGCTCTCTAGGCACAAGTATAAGTGGTTATGTGATTATGCAGCTCCGATACACAATGCTCTCCTCACCACAGAAAGTTCCATCGAACAGCTTCATCACCACCAGTCTCTGAGGTCAGCCTCCTGCACGTGGAACCTTGGTGTAACTCAAGTGGCTGGAGGCCCATAACTCAGAAGCTTCAAAGAACCCCTCAGTCCCAGCGACCAGGGGGAACTATGGGCTTCAGCAACTCGGGTTCCCGGCTCGGATCCCGCCCTGGGTCTCAGAGCGCCTCTGGGGAACACTTTAGAATGAGATGTAGGCCACTTTTGCTTGGTCCTTTCCCCTCTAACAACCCAGGCTGTTATCAGTCTCTTGGAACTCCTTCTTCATTTGCAAAAAAGACCTATGACTATGTCTGGGCAGTAATTCTTACCTAGCAAATGTGTGCTGATCTGTCCATCCCACCCAGTGCTTTCTGTACCATTTTGTAACACGGTGAACACAAGGGAGTACCTTTGTAAGGGCTGGTTTTGGAGGGCAGTGATGGCTGGGTGAGAGAAACAGCCCAGAATGGATTCTAATTTTGCATGTAATTTTATAAGTGGAATCTTTTCTCTTTTAAACTCATTGTTCTAATTGCCATAGGGCATGTGTGCTTGTCAGAGAGAGACAGAGGGAGGAGGAAGGGAAAAAGTGTCCCCATTGGAGAATGATCATGCCACAACCCATTTCTCCATCCTGTCTGGATTGGAGGCACACATGCATACGTACTTGGCCTGTTTTTCAAGCTTCCAGGCCTGGGATTTGAACCATAGTCAGCTATGTGGTATCCAGCTTCCTTAACTACTAGACCATGGATCCAGCCCTGAATAGAATCTTTGTAAAGTTAAGACTAAGTTTGTAGCTGTGACAAAGAATGGCAATGCTGGGACCAGCAGATGGCATAATGGTTACATTGCTGGACTCCCACATGGTCAACCACGTACTCAAGTTCAGGTCCTGAACCCGGTGGCTTAAAACTCATGCAGGGCATGTGTGTGTGCGTGCCCAAAATCCCAAGAGAAGATGGAGGAGAAGGGACTGTGGTATGCCATCCCCCCTGCTGGGGGTGATTTCTCACTTTCTGTCTCTCTGGCAAGCACACACGCCCTATAGCAAAATTCTCTCTTTACAATAAATAAATAAATAAATACATAAATAAGAAAGAAAAGCAATGCCTCTAGCCTGAGCAGAAGCATTTCATCTTACATGTGCTACAGGTTTTAGGTCTGCTCACAGTATGATACCGTAATTGGGCAATTTTGGTTTCTTAAGATATCCGAGATAAAATTCGCGAATGCTCTCATGACCTGTGGACCACGGGTATTAAATGCTGTTTGTGGGCCCTTTCTCTGCTCTCCGTTTCAGACGTCAGGGGTAGCTTCGTGCACAAGTGTCTGATTTGGAGCTGTGTCTGGGGAGGGTGCGTTAACTGTTCTCTCTTCTTCCCTAACAGCAGTATTGAGCCCAGACTGCTGTGGGAGAGAGTGGAGAAGCTGGTGCCCAGGCCTGACAGTGGCAGCTCCTCGGGCTCCAGCAACTCGGGTTCCCAGCCCGGGTCCCACCCTGGGTCTCAGAGCGGCTCCGGAGAACGCTTCAGAATGAGATGTAGGCCACTTTTCCTTGGTTCTTCATTTGCAGAAAAGACCTGTGGTTGGCATGTCACATTTATCACAACCAGTGGTTTCGTGGAAGGTGCAGGTGACGCTCATGAGCATTTTAATCCTAAAGAACTCACTTTGAGAACTTCACATGCTCCTAGCACTGCGAGGACCTTATATCTTACAGCAGTTAATTAACTTGCCCCAAGTAATTAGCTGACTGTTTGAGCTGGATTCTTTTTTTTTTAAATGCGGGAGGGCCTGAGGGAGTGGATGGAGGAGGAAGGAGCGGCCTTGAACAAGGGCCTGGTCATGCTGCAGTCCTTTTCCTCTAGTTCTCCATTCCATCAGGGTCCTGGCCTACACACACATAGGCCTGTGGTTTTTTTAAAGCTTCTGGGGTTGGGGCCGAAATTCACACCGTGGTCAGCCAGGTGGGGTTTGGCCTCTTGGTCAGCCATGTGGGAATCGGCCTCTTCTATGCAGCATCTGGCTGCTCGGCTGCTGGGCCATCCCCGAGTTGGCGTGGGAGCCCCGTCACGTCAGAATGGACTCCAGGTCTGCGCTGTCATTGATGCTGGTTATGTTTACTGGCTTGCCGTAATGGGTAGCGAAGGCCCCTGCCTTGTTAGTGGCTTACCGTGGAGTTCCTAGTGAACACGTGGAGTAGAGTGTGGTGATGGAGGGGCCTGTGGAGACCCTGACATGGGTGGGGAAAGGGGGTTGAGAGGGAGCAGAAGGCCAGCTGGGCTGGGACTGTGCCGTGACCGTTCCTGGTGTTCACGTGTCTGCCGTTCTGTCTCCGTCAAACCCCACAGCATCATCTAAGTCAGAAGGCTCCCCCTCTCAGCGCCTTGAGAACGCAGCAAAGAAACCTGAGGACAAAAAAGAAGTTTTTAGACCACTCAAGCCTGCTGTAAGAATCGCACAGAATCACTTTTACTTGTTTTGGGTTGAGTGAGAGCTTTCTTTTCAAAATGTGATTGGGAAGCCCGAGGTTCCGTCTGCTAGTGTTGGGCATTCCGAGAAGTGACCCAAACCCCGGGCACATTTGTGTCCCCCCCTGCAGTCCCCACCCTTAGTCACCTTACTCCCTATAGGAAATGCTCATGGAGTGAAACCTCTTCCTGTGCTTCACGCGTGCACTTACAGAGGGACACAGAGCGAACTGTAGCTTTTCTCTAACGGAGTTTCCGCCCAGGAAAACCCATCTTTCAAACTAGAAGAGGCAGAGAGACCTTTGTATCTCTCTGCTTGGCATTAGCCTCTATTTACGTTTGATAAGTTGGGCCTTTGCCATGCTGGCTTTAAATGAATTTTAAAATCACCTTCTGAACCTCACCTGTTGGGGTGGGGTTGTGACTGTTTCTCGTGCCCCTCCTCTCATCCGTGCTGTTTACCTGACTGCGTGGCCGGGGCACACTGTGGAAGCTGGAGCCTGTGGGGGTCTGATTTCCTGCCTGACCTGATCTCAGTGCTTCTCTCTCTCCCGTTCTCCTCCCTGCTTCCTCGTGCTGGGCCTCCCTCACCAACAATGGCTTCTCGGACCACGGAACTGCCACATGCCACAGGGTGAAGTGGTAAGTCCGCCTCTAACACGTCCACCTCAGAGCAGCGCCACCTGCATTGAGCTGAGCACATACCCCAGCTGCATCCCTCTCCTTCCCGACACAGTGTTTTGCTCTTGTCTAGGATTTGAAAACCTTGAAACTCACTTCAGCTTTCTTTTCTTTTCTTTGTTTTTACATTTATTTATCTATTTCTCATGAGAGAGAGTCAGGGACCTCCAGAAGGGTGCTGACACAGTGTGGTCCTCCGCCAGCCCTCCATCCAGTCGATCCAAGGTGTGCCTGGTGTGTTCACGTCAACTCGGGATCGGAACCCCAAGACCCCCGAGCACCAGCACAGGACACACCGCCATGGCTGGCCCTGTGTCAGCTTTCTTAACACACACCATTCGTTGCATCATTTATTGTTTGTATTAAATGTAGCTTTTCTGAATAACTATTTAAAAAGCTGCAGCTATAATCATGAAACAGCAAGACTCAAGGCCCAAGACTTTATCACTGCAGAGGCTCAAGACCAAAAAGGAAACACACTCTCAGTGTAGAAAAGAAGAAAACTAAGTTGGAACTGCCAAAAATAAAAAGAAAAATAGCTACAGAGCCTACTGTTTTCAAAACTCATGACTTTAAAATAGAATTCTCAAGTGCAAAGATGAAATTGGGACTTTTATATAAAAAGGAGTGGTATAAATAACCACTTGTGAGACTTGTATTTGGTAAATTGAATCTTAAAGAATCTCAGTACAGAAGAGTAAAAGAAAATGAAGTGCTTTTTGGACAAGTTTTCTGTAGACTTTCTGATGTGCATATTCGCTGTATATCCCAGTTTTGTGGGGAAATGTGGGGATGGCTCGAAGGAGGAGGCTGCAAGGAAGCCACCCGAGCCTTCCACTCTCAGAGCACATGGGGCCCTCTGTCTTCATGGGCCACCAGCTGCTTAAGAACATGGCAGGTTGTTAACCATTGGTGAGGCGAGGTATGGGTCATGTCTTGGGGCTCACCACAGTCTTCTCACTTCCCTACAGGTTTGGGATTCTAATACACATAGAAAATAGAAATACTTAAAATCATGTCTGTTTAACTAGTTTTCTGGAAAACACTTTTAAAAGAAGACTTTGTCATGTAGGCAGATGTCTTTGCAACAGATCCCAAGGATCTGTCTATACTTTTTCTAAAAAATGGTTTGACTTGATTCGATTTAATATGATTTTCAATTTGCTGTAAGGTGTGCACACTCATAGAAAGACAGTATGGATGAGAGAGAAAGTGAGAAAGCAAGCTGCCGGGTCTGGGGCTTGGTTGGATGGTTGGCCAGGTGGGGGTACAGCACCTTAACCTCCACGTTACCTGCTGGCCCCATATGTATGCTCTTTAATCTAGAACTTCACCTTAATTTGGAGTTGAAAGATGCCATCAACTTACCCTATGCAGGTGTTACGTTTTTTATTGTTAGTGGGCTTTGAATATACACAGTATCTTTGATTTTGGAGGAATCTTCTTTTTAAAAAAAAAATAGTTATCTTTGACTTTTCTTGTCCTTTCTATCAAAAACCCTGAGCGCTCACCTCATCTTTGACTAGTATGGACCAGTTTCATGAAGCCGACATTGTGGCTGTTCAGGGGTAGCTGAAATAAACTTCTCTTCCTCCCTTCCTTGCCCCAGCCTCACTCTCTTTCTTCTGTCCTGTGCGCTAGGACTTGACCGCGCTGGCCAAGGAGCTTCGAGCTGTGGAAGACGTGCGACCGCCTCACAAAGTGACGGACTACTCCTCCTCCAGCGAGGAGTCCGGGACGACGGACGAGGAGGACGATGACGTGGAACAGGAAGGGGCCGACGAGTCCACCTCCGGACCCGAGGACACCCGAGCAGCGTCAGTCCTTGGTGTAGTTTAGGGAGGATGAGAGCATTCCCACGGGCCGCCTTTCCCTGTCATACCCAGAGGGTTTTTCTCTGTGTGCTTGCCATGGGGTTCCAGGAGCACGCAGCTTCTCCTTGTTGATTCCACAGCAGGCACCTTGGTGTTTCGCCCTTCTGTGTGCGCACGTATGTGTGTGCACACGTGCCTCCCTTCAACACCCTAGCGTGTACTTTATTTTTTCCAGTGAATTTGAAGATATAAAACACACTGTTAGTGTGATGTGACTGCTGTAACCATACGTGTGTGCTCAGAAACACACACTCAGACGGCACCGGAAGGAAATTCTTTGTTGAAGGGAGATAGCTAACCATGTGCTTTCCTTGAGGAAGCTCTTCCTGTAGCCTTGTCTCGTTTAGGGCTTTGAGCAGGTGTGGGGTCTGAGCAGCATGTCCTCGACTGGTGGCATTCGGGCCCTTGACTCGTGGGTATTTTCCGCAGGTCGTCTCTAAATTTGAGCAATGGCGAGACGGAGTCTGTGAAGACCATGATTGTCCATGACGATGTAGAAAGTGAGCCGGCCATGACCCCGTCCAAGGAGGGCACCCTGATCGTCCGCCAGGTACCCGTGTCCTCTCTGTTGTCAGAGGCTAAGCTTCTCCTGTGGTCATTAACCCACTTGCTCATCCACTCACTCATGCTGTTTCTACATCATCATCTGTTTTCACATTAACAAGACCCAGAGGGTAGAGCGCGGGCTAGGGCGGTAGGTCTTGCTGCATGCCAGGACGGTGCGAGTAGTCCTCCACCCCACATCTGCTCCCCTGCATGTCTGCGGCAGCCCTCATCTGAGCACCACGCTGAGTCTCACAGTCTGTGTCTGAGCGGTAGAAGAGCCACAGGGAGCCCTTAAACGGGCTTGCAGAGGGAGGCAGCAGATTCGAGTCTGTGGCAGAGGAGTCCCAGTGGCCCTGCCAAGAGCACCAAGCTCGGGTGTCTGCCATGCCGCGGTAGGAGCGGACGGCCAGGCAGGACACACTTCATCACAGCCCACAGATGTGGAGAGCACAGGGTGGGAGGTCTCTCTTCCGTGTTCCTCAATATTAGTTTGCTTGTTTATTGAACAATGAACGTGTACCTCCCAGGCGTGCTCAGTTGGATCACTAAATTTTACAACTGTTTATTTCTTAGCTTAGACTTAATTAAAGTGGTAGACTTCTCACGTAAGTAGGTCTAGGCACCTGTCTGTCATTTTGGGCTTTGCCTCGAGTGTGTTTCATGCTCCGGCCATGCATCCGGATGGCAAGTAGGAAGGGCGTGGGGAAGACCAGGATCGAAGGAAGCCAGGGGGTATGTTCTAGAGCTTTAGATAGAAACACTGAAAAAAGAAAAAGAAGGGTTCAAGGTTTTGGTCACAGAAGTTAGTGCGACAGGGAAACCAGGCTAAGCACTCTGCCCAAGATGTGTGGCCACCAGATGGAGCCATCAGAAGAGGGACTTGGGGTTCTGTTGGCTCAACTTCGGCATTTGGAAAGGAAGTGTGAGCCGTTTCAGGGTCCTTTCCTAGGAGCTCCTTGGTAATGTCACAGACTTTGAAAGGTCACACAGCACCGTCAACAAGCAGGTATCAGTAGGGTTGTAGGCAATTTCAGCAGCGCTTGAGCGAGACCAGTGTGCCTGTTTTTTCTACAGAGTACAGTTGACCAAAAGCGTGCCAGCCATCATGAGAGCAATGGCTTTGCCGGTCGCATTCACCTCTTGCCAGATCTCTTACAGCAAAGCCATTCCTCCTCCACTTCCTCCACCTCCTCCTCCCCATCCTCCAGCCAGCCGACACCCACCATGTCCCCACAGACACCCCAGGACAAGCTCACTGCTAATGAGGTATGTCTCGCACCACAGCTGGCTGCTCTCCTGGGGTTAGACCACTGCCTAGGAGCTAGTGTGCAAAGGAGACCTTTCCACCACCCCTGCCCCTTCCCTACCCGCCCTGCTTTCTTCTGTCACCTCCCTGTCTCCCCACCCCCACCCCCACCCCCGAGTAACATGTTTCAGATCTGCCTACAAATCCCTTAACCCTAGATCGATTTCCCTCCAAACTTGCTGGTTCACTGTGTATTCCCTCTAGAAAAGTGTAGTTGCATGGCTTTCTTTCTCTAGTTTATTTTTTAAGAAATGAAATGATTGCTGTGTTCTCAAACCCATTATGTATTTGGCATGAAATTCTTGTAGTTATTTGTGGAGTCTGCCCTTTTCGTTCAGTGAATTAAGCGTAGGCAAGTTTGGTTAAGCAGATTTGGCCTTATCTGGATGAATTTGCTATCCTGTCCAGTAATCTCCTTCAAACAGGGCCAGTCTGTTGTTTTTTGTTGTTTTTTTCCTTTTTCTTTTTTGGGGGGTGGTTTTTGGTTGGTTACTCTTATTTTCACCAACCCTGTTAAAAGGATTTCTTTTGTTAAAATTTGCAATCATTCAGGAGTTTTAAGAAGAGGCCGAATGCTTTTCAGGGAAAACCTAGAAAATTCAGATGTTAAGCAGGAAAGATGGCAGTCTGAGTGTGCTTTTAATGTAAAGCCGTGCGTGGGAAATGTGGTGTGCTTGTCTCCAGGTGTGGCTGTGGTGCTGGGCCTGGGTGCTAGCTGGGTGAGTGCTCTCTGAACAGGGTTCTACCCCCAGGGCAGGGACAGAGTCCCCTGGAGCACCCTGTTATGACACAGGCCGTCTGACTCCACAGGAGGTGTGGTGTCAGTGCACTTTCTAACAGGCGAGGGAGGCGGAAACTGACACTCGCTTCAGTCAGTCTTCGGTCGGCGTGAGCACTTACCACTGCCGAGGCCCATTTTGGGCCCTTTGTTAGAATCAGGAAAGGCTTCCCTCTTCTCAGGGAGAGGAGAGCAGGAGAAGTGGATGCTCCCTAGGCAGGCTCGCCTCACGTGGGCCATTGGCCAGCCTGGCCACAGATTCAGAAGGAGGGACTTGGGGGGTGGCATATCAGGTAGGGAGCTTTAGGAGGGTGTGTGGGCTCAGGACATGGTGACTTCAGGTGTCCGTGGAGGCAGAGATGGTACAGGACAAAGCACCTGATCAGACATGTTCTTTTTATCTCCTGAGATATAATATCCACCCACACTTACATTTCTCCTTACGTTTAAATTTTAAACTTTGCTCCATTTGCTCTAATGTACAGAAATTTTCTATAACCCTTAACTCACTAAACTGGCAAGTTTATTTTTCTGTTTGTTTTGTTTTTAATTGTCATTACATTTCCACTTAACAATTTGTTTCACTTTCTTTGTTTTTTTTTTTGTCTTAAGTTACATTATTAACCAAAAACACTAGTGCTCCTACAAAGATAAAAGGATATGCCTCTGTTGTTTGCATCTTTGACTAACGAGCTCTTGTTCAGTGTGGGTTTAATGGTGATGCACCTAGAATGATGATAACGGAAACTTCTGTAGCTTCCTGGCAAGAGGCTCACTTAAAAAATAAATGAATAAAACTAAGTTAAGGTTTTCCAATGTTCCAGTATAAATTATTTGGACTTCTTTTGGGTAGGAGAGTAACGTTAGAAATTGGTGAATTGAGGTCAGGCGTTTCAGACCTCTTTTAGGTGTTTTTATCGTAATTGTTTATTTAATTAAAAAAATTAAAAAGCCAGGCGTGTGAAGGGTGGGTGTTCCTGGAGCTGGCCGGCTTGCTCTCCGGGATGAGCCATGCTTGGCGTGTTTCTGGGGTATCTCTGCAGCAGGTCCAGCCCCCTCTCTGAGTGTCCATGAAGAGGCTCCCTGCGAAGTGTTTTTGGGGAAGGATGCAAAAGGGATCAGGCTTTATACCGGGAACTAGTGCAGTATAGAAGTAGGTTGAAATGTTTTTTAATGTTCGCCTTTCAAATGTCATATGTATTAATAAAATTGAAATTTACATTACAGACTCAGTCCGCTAGTAGCACACTCCAGAAACACAAATCTTCCTCCTCCTTTACACCTTTTATAGACCCCCGATTACTACAGATTTCTCCATCTAGCGGGACCACAGTGACTTCCGTGGGTAAGTACAGGAACGACAGACAAGCAGCTGCCCTGCAGGACTCAATCACTTTGCGTTGCTCTCTCAGGGGGCTCAGGCATGGCATGCTGGTTGCTCAGAGGCATGAGCCTCGGGCTCAGAGACCTCCCAACCCACTGCATTGCTATACATGCCGCGAGCTGCAGCTCCTTTCTCCACATACATGTCTCATAGGTTTCTTCTCCGGGGCAGAGCATTGTTATGGCATACGTACACTGACTCACAGAATAGTGGGAGAGGGTGGCAGGTGCTGTGTGCATGCGTGCATGTGAAAAATGACTTCCGATGTGCTGTGTTTCAGTGGGATTTTCCTGCGATGGAATGAGACCAGAAGCCATAAGGCAAGATCCCACCCGGAAGGGCTCGGTGGTCAATGTGAATCCCACCAACACTCGGCCACAGAGCGACACCCCTGAGATTCGCAAATATAAGAAGAGGTTTAACTCCGAGATCCTGTGTGCTGCCTTATGGGGTAGGTGTCCTGCCACTGCCCTGCGTCGTGTCTTCTGTCCTGAAGGGCTGTCCTTTAGTGAAGTTCTCCTCAGAGTGGCCGGTGATCGTTGGCAGGGCTGATGACAGGACAGAAGGCTCCTGGGATGCCCGTCCGCCTTGCAGGTCCGTGAATAGAGAGGTGTGGTCTGTGTGCACGGGCTCTCCTTTTGGCAGACAAAGCTTGGAAGGAACATTGATCCCTATTTCTTCACAGAAGAAAGAAAATTAAAAAGCCACGGCAGGCACTTGGCCCATGTTTATAGGTAGAATGAAGTTCCTGGAGATGATGCTTTTCCTTAAATGTTTCAGTGCAACTCTATTTTTTTTTTTTTTTCCTTGCTTTGTGACTTGGCCCTCACATAAAAGTGAAACTTTTAGAAGCGGTGTGCATCAGGGTCTGCAGGAGGCAACTGTGGAGCTGGTGTTCCCTGTCGAACACCTGCAGTGTTAGTATGGCATCTTCAGCTCTGGAAACACCACGAAAGAAGGGCATTCGTGGAGAGCTTGCCGCACACGAACTCCTGCCTTCTCACATTCCAAAACAGCTTTGCTGTCTCTGGTCCTTCCTCCAGCTCATGCCCGTGGATAGGTCCTGCTCCTATCCTTCCTCTGTCCTCCAGTCCCATACTTGGTCCTTCTTCTTCTTCTTGAACTTTGAGCCTGCCTGTTCTGAAGAAGGATCCTGCTTCTCCCCCGACGTCGCCCTCCCTTGGCTGCGCAGTGTAAGCGAACAGGAGACGAGCAGCCTGTTGGCTTGGGGCCCATGGCAGTCGTATTCCTCCAGTGTCGACATCCCTGCCGCTGCACCAGCTCTCTGTGCTCACCTGCTCTGAGCCCTCGTGTTCGCCACTCTCCTTCCTGCTGCTTGGGCAACTGCTTGGGGTTGGCACAGAGGCCTTTGCTTTCATCGTTTGAATCTCCCAATGTTCCTGGTCCCTGTTGTTGAAGACGAGGGGTCCTGTTGTGTGATAGATCGACCGTCTTTGCTGTCCGGATTTCAGCCTGTCCTCAGTCCTCTCCTGCCCCTGATAATCTCCAGCTCATCCCAAAGGTGTTAGAAGATGGTCTGTCCCGGTGCAGACATGCCTGCTCGCTCTTTTATCCTTTGAGATCTGGATTTCTGTTCGTGTTGCTCCTGAAAGAATGACTTGTGAAGCCCCTCGTGATCATATCGTCAGCCGTGTTATTAACTGCCAGGTAGAAGGACCAGCAGCTGATTCTCGGGGTATGGGCATGACACGAAAGCACTGCCACAGCCCTGCCACAGCGCACCGCTGCTCAGCTATTCGGTTGCTGTTTTTCTGGGGAGTAGTTTCACTTTTTATTCATATGGAGGGCCATTCAGGAGAGCGCGTGTATCATTGAAAATTACTGTTATGTTCAATGTAGAGATAACGTTAAAAATGTCAGTTCTTTCAAAGTCGATCATCCCTCTTTAACAGGTCACATCATTTTTAACCAGATTATGCTTGGTAGCAATTTTACTTGATAAACTCCTCAAATGTTCTGCAAATTAGTGGGCCTTATTCTACGTGCTACTAACGGATCTTTATGAACTAAAAGACTTCTAAAATTTCCGCAAATGTATTTTTCCTAATTCATTTCAAAGGAAAAAAGGAGAGTAATCTCAAACCTGTATCCTGTATTTTTTTAGGGAGATTTTTGCTGTAGAGCACATGCACTCTCCAGAGAGATAAAGAGAGGAATCAGCCCCCAGGGAGGGTGTCCATGTTGTGATCCTTCTCCTCCATTCTCCTCTCAGGATTTTGGGCACTCATGCACACGCTCCTGGCGTGAGTTTGAAACCGCAGATTCCAGGACCTGAATTGCAGTCAGGCCGTGTGGGAGTCCAGCCATGTAACTGTCATGCCATCTGCTGGTCCCTCAAGCCTGTGTCTTTAAAAATACAGTGAAATTTTCAATTTGGTATTATGTTAAAAGAATACATAAATCAATGTGTCTGGGTACTCCTTAGGTTGGGACACATCAGTGGTGGATTTCTTTAAGTTGCTCATGATGTTGATCATCATTTACCTTGGATGTTAAGTTAAAAAGAAGCTGCTTCTGGGCGCTGGCAGGTGGCGTGGTGGTTAAGGATGCTGGATTCCCACGTAGTTGACTGAGGTTCTAGTCCCAGACCTGGTGGCTTAAAACTCAGTGCTGGACATATGTGCATGTTTGCCCAAAATCCTGAGAAGAGAATGGAGGAGAAGGGATTTTGGTATGGCCACCACCAGGGAGGTGATTTCTCTCTTTCTGTCTGTCTGTCT